CCTTGAGTTCATCTTTACAGAGGATTTTTTGTTTTCATATTATCTTACCATCTGAACTTGTGGAGATATTTCTTTTTCTTCTTAATATTTGCAGTGATACAGAATTTTGGCACTACATGGAAGGTAGTAGCTGCCTCATTGTCTATGTCTGGATTCTCTTTTCAGGCCCCAATTTTGCACACAAAATCAAATCAGCTTGACTTTCTACTGGAAATGATACAGAGATTTATGTTGGCTTATAACATTTAGCTTTATGTTTCTGTCTTCCAAAAAAACAGTGGAATGGGAGCTGTGTCAAATTTGCCAGAAACAGACCTCAAAACAAAGACTCATGTGCAAGTGATTTGTGAGGGAACCACTCCCAGGAGAAGCAGGAGAGGGAGTTGGAAAGCCAAACAAGGTGGGACTTCAGGGAAATCCTCATCTGGGCCAAATTCTGAACGGGAGCTCTGAAGTGTGAACCACACAGCAGTTTATTTAGCCTAGGCTTGTATCCTCCTGCACCTGCTAGTCACTGGCCATGGCCACCTTAGGAGGACAAAAACTCCCAGGAGCTTCTGGAAGCTCCAGTAGATCACAGGTAGTGCCCTGAAGAAACTGCAGTTGTAAACTATTAGGAATGAGAAATGTAGAGGCAGGGAGATTGGCATGCCTAATCAGAGAGAGGATCCCACTGACAGTAGATACTTCCTGAGTCTTATATAGTGAGAGTACATGGAGGGTAGGGGCAGCTTTAGCAGGTTGAACATTGATAGTTCTTTCCACTTTCATTTCTCTCTCCTTAAATGAAGTGTGCCCAAACCCTTTTGCTCCTTATACCTGATATAGAAACATTTACTATATTTAGCTTTGCAGTAGAGAGAGATCATCATTTTACCACTTTTTTATTTACATGGTCATAGGGCTGCTCTTTTCACCACTCACTGTGTCAAATCCTGTGTTAACCAGCTTTTTTGTCACTCTAACAAAATGCCCAAAGTAATTGATTTATAAAGAGAAAAGATATATTTTGGCTCATGGTTTAGGAGATTTCATTTCACGATCAAGTGGCCCCATTGTTTTGGGCCTCTGGAGAGGCAGCACATCATGGCAAGGGAACATGATGGAGCAAATCATTCATCTCACCATCCAGAAGGCAAAAGAGGAAAGGAAAGAAATGGGAGTCTCACAATCCTCTTTGTGTGTGTGTCCAGTGTTTTAGGCACTTCCCACTGGGCCCCACCTTTTAAGTGTTTCACCACCTCCCAGTGGCACCACCCTAAGCACCAAGTCTTTAATGTAACAACCAATGGGGGGCACTTTTCCAAGCATAGCAGAGTTCATGGCTGTAGCAGAAGAGCATATTTCTTGTTTCAAAAATATATAGCATGGGCCAGGGGTTTAGCTCTGTGGTGCTGCTGCCTGCCTCGCAAGCGCAAGGACCAGAGTTTGATCCCTGGTTCAACCCCCCCCTAAACAAACAAACAAACAAACAAACAAAAAATATATATCTCAAACTCTCTTTTTGCTGGAAGGTGCTGATTTAATTTTTAAATTATCTATGCAGTTTCATATCATTTTACTTTTAATTATCACATCCATCAGGGGATTAGGTAGTGAAGAGAGAGAAGCAGAGACTTGAACAGGCCTAAAATTGACATGAATCTGGTAAGTAAGGAACCTCTTATTATTATATGCTGAGCCCTTCTACATGGTGTTGCATGAATGTTACTTATTTAGGCAGCACAGGCTTCCTTAAAAGTCATAATTTGCAATGATGTCTTTGGTGATTTTGGATGATGAGAGCTAAGGTGCATTATCAATCAACCTGAGAAGCTAAAATTAGTAGATGAAGTCAGTGGACATGGGGCTCTTTTTTCTGTCTGGCATGAAAATAGATAGGTAGCAGGATGCTTAAACCCTCTCTTTCTTGTCCCCTACCTGCTCCTTCTTCCTGCATACAGGCAGAACATCGACAAAGGTGGCAGAACTGACCCATCCACTCCACTTTGGTTTTTTCCAACACAGTTCATGTCAGTGATATATTTATAGCTACTGCATCTATCATGTAACTGCTGTGTCCTCATCATTATGGAGGTGTCAGGTGTTCTGCAGTGGCCACAGTAAACAGAAAAATTGCATATGTATATTCTACTTGGCACGATTTTAGTGTGAAGAATAGCTGTTCTCTTAAATATTTGCCCAGAACATTATGGATCAGTTTAAGATTAAGAAATCAGTCCTCATGCCAAAACTCTGCCAGTAAGCAAGTCTCAAAAGGCAGTTTAGATGACTGTCCATTACAGCTATTCACCTATTATATTTCTGTATAAAGTTAGTGATGCCACACTATTAAAATCTGTATAAAATTGGTATATAATCCAACTAAATTTCTGTTTACATTTTCTACTACATTTACTTGTAATGAATGGTTGCAAGCTGATATATAGAAAAACAAAATTTATGTAGGACTGGGAGGTTTCCGGAGACATAGGACTTTCAGGGCTAAAATGAGGAAATTCCCAGGCAAGCCGGGATAAGTTGATAATGCTAAATCACACAACACATTGATTTGTAATAATAAAATCTAGGCACTGACCCTTAAGAGGCAGGCTTCTGAGTTCATTCTGATTCTACTTGCTGTGGGAAATTGAATGACTCAATTCTTTTCCTACTTGTCTTTGTTCAAACTACTATGAAACCTTTGTTTCATATGTATGTAATGGTTTCAAATCTACTTCCAACATATTCAGATATGAAAAGAAAAGTTAGTCTATTAATTTCACTGATTCCAGGTCTGGAACCTTCTCCCTTGCTAAGGCCCATGAAATGCCTGGATCTTTCAGGGATAACTGGGTGGGTTTTTCTCTTTTGTTGGGCATAGACTTTCCTCTACCATGCTCTCCTTTTGGCAGAGACAGCATTTGTCTTGTTTATTCTCAGGCCATCATAAGTGCAGTATACATAGGAACTTTGGCTTACTGTTAAGGGGATAATAATAAAAAAATCTGGAAAAGTTTGACTCATATTCATTCAATGTACCATAGCAAATTTTTGCTTTTCACTTGGGCAGAATTCAAATGTAAGTATAATGTGGTTCAGTGATAGAGATTTCTGCTAATATCTTATGACTACATAGCTTTAGTAGAAGGGAATTAAAATCAAGGAAGATTAGGATAAAACTTTTGGAAGAGTCTTTAACTTCACTTGTAAATACCATTTTCTCACATTGGAGAGAAACCGCAGGCCAAGCTGTGGTTGCCTGCCTTGTGACCCAGCAGCCTGTCTGTTGTTATAATGTGCCTGGACCTGGGAAGCTGGCAGAGGGCTCCTCCTTTGCACTGCCATTGTAAAAGCGTCTTGACGATAGCAACATATTTGTTTTATTGGCATAGAACCTTCATCTCTCCTCCTTTCTAAGCAAATAACATACAAGTGGTTTTAAATTCTCCTCAGGTGGAATGAATATGTAATGTTTCATGCTTCCTAGAGAATAATTTCACAATTCCATTGCTTTCTTTTTGGTGCCGGGGATCAAACTTGGGACCTTGCACTTGTGAGGCAGGCAGTGGAACCACTGAGCTAAATCCCCAGTCCCAATGCCATTACATTTTAAAGAAGATTTTTATAGTTAGTTTATAGTTAGTTTTATAGAAGAAGATTTTTTATAGTGACTGTTAAAGGTGCTTTTCAGGTATTCCTTTTCTCCCTGCCATTCACTGCTAAACTGTAGTTTACATTTGGTATCTTATTTCTCTAGCTCTTACATATTCAACTTTCTCTTTTAGTAATAAGCACCTTTCAGAGGAGATGGTGTATGATTTTTGGACATATGCTGGGCAAGATGAATACTCCTAAAGACCTCTATTTTTTTAAATGCAAATTTGATGCAGAAAAACATTTCCTTTGTTCTATTTGGCTCCAGAAGCATTTACTACTACTTTTCAATTTTCATTTTTTTCTCAGTACTTATTTACAGTACATAATATTGCATTCCTCATGGGAAGTTGGTACATGTGCATAACACATCTCAATTATTTTTTCGCTCCTCCCATCCCTTGGTCCCCTTCTCATTTGCAAAAGATAAGTAGTAGCAGTGACCTTCAAAAGTAGTAGTAGAAGGTCACTACTACTACTTTTGAAGCTTTTATTCACTCTATAAAGTTCAGTATTAATAACTATAAGAATCAGAGGGAACAATCACTAACTACATGTACTATTTGAAAGTAACCATGTTTTCACAATAAATAACCTCTTCAACAAGAAAACCATTGCCTCTTCCATGGTCAAAAATCCATGTCCAATCATTTAATTACCAGGAAAAACTAAATTTCTTGGATTTGTTTTCTTGATCTTGTGCACATGTGTGTGTTTGTGTATGAATATAATTATTTTGAATCCATGAATTTTGTATTAGTTTTTTGTACTGTGTAACAAGTTGCCAGAAATTTAGAAGCTTAAAATAATATCATTTACTAGCTGACTCTTCTCTAGGTCAGAAGGCCAGTGAGGCATGTTTGGGTTCTCTGCTTATATTCTCAAATGCACATTTTTTGTCTGGATGTTTTGGAGAAGAATCAGTTTCCAAGGTTATTCTGGGTTTTAGTAGAATCCAGTTTCTTATTGTTGTAAGACTGAGGTCTTGTTTTCGTGAAGGATGTCAGTTAGGGTCACTGTCAGCTTTTAGAGGTTGCTTCTAGATCCTTTGCACTTGGGCTTCTCTATTTTCAAAACCATCAGTGGCAGCCCATGTTTCATTTATGTTTAAATCTCTGACTTTTTATCCCATTCTTCTGTCAGGCTTGTGTTGTAAGCAGAACCTGTGTATTAATCTATTTTTTGTTGCTCTAACAAAATTCTTGAATCCACCTACTTTATAAGAATAGAGATTTATTCAGCTCACAGTTTTGAAGGATGAAGGTCCAACAATTGGAACCTCTATTTGTTCAGCTTCTAGTGAAGTCCTTATGGTAAATGACATCATAATGTTGGGAACTCATACAGAAGAAATCATGTGGTGAGCCAGGAAGCCAGAGCAATTCATAGGTCAAGTTCACTCTTTTTATAACAATCCATTCTCATGGGAACTAATTTTATGAGACTGGCTTTAATCCCTTCAGAAGGCAGGACACCCAACTTCCACTAGGACCCACCTCTCAAAGGTTTTGCCACTCTTAACAATTCTATGTTGGGTACCAGTCTTACAGCACATGAACTCTTGGGGGACAAACCATACTCAAATTAAGACAACCTAAATGCAAGTCTACTTGCAATGTCATTAACATTTGATAGTCAGGACAACAAAATCCAATAGAGGAAGATTTTTCTTTAGTCCATCAATAATATACAAGGCCTCCAGAAGAATGGTAAGCAGGGTTAATTATTTCAGATTTGAATCCCCACCCAGAATCCTCTTTGAATAGAGAAGGAGGAAAGGAATTGGGCTTCAGCTTTCCCTCCTCCAGGGTTCCTCTTAACTAGCTTTTTTTCTTTCAGCCCCTGTAGGAAATATTTTCCTTAAGACTTCTACTCTTTCTTGCACACACCTTCAGGTCTCTCAATTTTTAAATATTCTGCTTTTTCATCCCCCTTGCTTGCTTTTAGTCAGTCCATTTAATTTGCCATTTTTTCTTTTAACTGGATGAATCACTGGAAGGGAAAAGATCCATGAAGATAAGAGAGGGAATGAAAGTTGTTGGTTTCTATAAGATAATCAGTTTTGTATTGCCAATAAAGGCTGCACAAAATTTCTGTACACCATTTTTATGTGTACAGAAGAAACAGTGCCATTGTTTCTTTTCAGTGTTATCTGAGTTTTCCTTTCTATTAAACTAGTAGACACATGTCCAGCCTGGTTGGGCTTATGAAGTTTGTTTGGGCTTATGTTAGAAATAATTGATAAGTTTCCTCACTCACAAACTGCTTTAATGACTGGAAAAACACCAGCCCTCTTCCTCATATTCACAGTTTAAATCCTTCTTGGATTTGAGAATACCATTTTATTCACAAACAGGCTCTCATTACAAAATTTAAGTCACAATTGACATGCACTATTGGTCAACATAAATGAATCCAGGATGTTCAACTTGTATCTTTTTAACTCATTCTTTGCAGAAATAAAACAAATAGACTATTGTTGCATTTCAAATAGAGATGTGTGTCATAGGGTCTTTTATCAGTGTATTTACTGGAAGTGAAAAATGAAGTCAGAATCTTGGGACAGAAAGGAACTTTGACTTGGTGATTGCTTTGGTCTGAGGACTGGCATTATTATTAGGGTATATGAAAATTATTTAAAACAGTTTATCTGCTATTTCAACTTTGACTATAAAGTAAAAGCATTTCTATCACCAAATATTGCTTAATATACTTATGTTAAAATTAGAAATATTAGGCCGCCATCCCACGTGCCTAGGGCAGAGAAGGTGAGCCGGTCCCTGCACCCGGAAGGAAGCTCCCCCGCTGCCATCCCACACTCTTAGGGCAGAGACGGTGAGCCAGTCCCAGCACCCAGAAGGAAGCTCCCCCGCCACCATCCCATGCTCCCAGGGCAGAGAAGCTGAGCCACATGGGTACCAGAAGCACCTCCCCCCCAGGCTCCCTGTGGAAATGAGAAGACACTGAAACAAGCCTCAAAAACAGACTTCTGGATCACCTACAGCAACCCCAAAGGGAAATGAGATGGAACAATCTGATATTCAACCACCTGGACTCTCTGAA